TATGTATTTCTAATATTAATAATAATAGATTTAGTACTGTTTTAAGTAACTTTTCATTTGAAAAGAATCTTTAATCTGTACACAGATGACTTCCTTATCCTGCGATTTTTGAGAGTTTGCAAATTTGATCTTGAGAAAACCAAGATCAGGATTCGAAACCATTACGAACAACGATCCGACTTACCAGAATGGTACATGAATAAGGATCCATTTCTTCCAGAACTGCAAGAGCTGCTTGATATGGGGTAACGATCACTATTTCGGAGTATATATGTAAGAGTTTATTGGAGTTCGTGGTTTCGTGAGATTTTGCAGTGAATCTGAGATCGACATATAATAAAGCGTTTTATTTTATATAATTAAAAAAAAATTCTCTCTTTTACTCCACTATTATTATCTTACACACAACGCATTGCGGATTATTCGATTATAGTAGAATGAAATTTCATAATTTTTCGAGAAATCTGAAATGCTTTATTTACGTTTAGTTTGTATTTGCCTCTGCGGAATCCGGATGATCAAGGAAGATTAGTTATTATTTTACGCCTTATTTATAATCCGAGGAAACATCAAGTTGCAGATATAGCTAAGGTCAATATGAAACTATACTCGAACGATTTATGTCGGATGTCGTCACCATGACATATTTTTAATTCGCATCCATTGTTTCTCAACGAACAATCTTTTTAGGTTGGAATGATGGCGCTAGAAACGGCGATAAAATATTATCCCGCGGCATCCATACATGGCTATACATTATTTATAGATTTAGCTAATGTGTCTAAAGGTCACATTGCTCAATACGGACCGTCCATGTTAACGAATTCGGTTCGTTTATGGCAAAACTATCCCATGAGAATAGAATTAATTAATATGTTTAACGCCCCCTCCATCTTCGAATTAACAGCAAAAATCTTAAAATCTTTCATGACTGAGAAGTTGAAGAAGAGATTCAATGTCCACTCAAACAATACGGTGCATAACTGTTTGAAGGATATTCCAGCCAACATCTTGCCCGTCGAATGTGGCGGCACTGATGGTACAATCCAAGAATTAACAGGTAATTGCGATAAATTAGAATGTAATAAATACAACGCGTTTAGTGAAAGGACGTTTCTTATTAAACTAATATGTGTTGAAGAGTAAATGAACTTTTCTCATCTAAAATTGCAGTAATTCTGAGCAGTCGAACATTAACTAAAAGTTTGTCAGTATAGTTCATATAGTCAATTGTTCATATGTGTCTAAACTGACGTCAACATTATATAATTCAATATATGTAAAGTAAATACTTATTTTTGCAGAATACTGGAAGAAACTGATCGAGGAGAATCGCGACTCGCTTTTGAATGAGGACGACAAAATCGTTTCAAAACACTACATGCAGAACCGTTTGAAGGAGGAAGCTAACATCGAATATGACGGCACTGATGGTACAATTCAAGAATTAACAGGTAATTGCGGTAAATTAGAATGCAATAAATGTAACGCATTTAATGAAAGAATGTAACTTATTAAGCAAATATATGTGTCAAAGAGAAAATTAATTTCTCACATTGCTTCTAAGATTGCAATAATTCCAACAAGTCATACATTAACTAAAAGTTTGTTAATTGTTTATCTAATTGTAATATGCGTATCTTTCAATATATGTAATGTAAATACTTACTTTTATAGGACGCTGGAAGAAGCTGATCGAAGACGATCACGACAGTCTTGTGGTCGAGGAGAATGACGAGGAAATTATTACAAAACTCTAGAATCAACAAAAAGTACTTGCTTTTTTAACATATGTATAAATGTACTTATGATCGTTATATAGCTCGTAAGTTTTCTGTTTTGTGTTTTGAGATATAAATAAATGAGATAATCTTTTTTTTTCTCTTTCTGCGCAAATATAGACTTATCGGTAATATGAAATTTTTAAGAGTTTTATAGGTGGACTTTTTTTAAAGGCGATTACGGGGATCTTTAAAGGCTCAGCAACGCTAGAAAACGTTTGCTTTTATAGCGAGCTTGATTTTCTTTTACCAAATGTATGCCGCGCTTCGTTGTGTCCTTTACACAACGAAGCGCGGTGTGTTGTAGGGAAAATAAATTTTTTCTCTTTTTCTTTCATTGTGCAGAGTATACTCTGAGAGTATAATGTATGCAGATGTATAAAATTAAGCTTTTAGTTCAAATTCTTTGCATTCTTAAATTAGGAGATTAAGAAGATAAATTCGCTCTACTCGCTTTGCAACTTAGAACTCATTTTCTTTACATTGTTTTACATTTACCTTCTTAACTGTAAACATTAGATATATCCATACTTCATAAGTAACAATGTAATTATAATTTTTAAGGAAGTATTTTATTTTGATATAAAATAAATTGTTTCCACGTGATGCAGAAGAGCGGATGTGTTATTTTTTGAAATTGCCTTATCGTTTTAACTATAAACATCAGGTTTCTTAATTTAGTTATTTTATATGTAACTAGAAAGCAATGATATAACTATAATCTTTTAATATAATTTCAGCACATATGCATTTTATTTAAAATATTAAAAACGTAATGTAAAGAATATAGAATTTAACATTTTTTCGCGACTTATTTTCTCGAGGATAAGTATCAAGTAATTTATTGGAATCATCACCGCGTCTCTATACTTCGTAGATGGCATTGATTCATAATAGCTGAAATGATTTGATATATACATTTGATATATATTCACTTAAAAAAAAAAAAAAAATAATAAAAAATAAAAAATGATGTAACAAAGTGGCGTTTAACTTTGTTAGCGAAAAGAGAAGTGAGAGTAAAAGTGTCAATAAATAACAGTAAATAGTTACTAAATAGAAATTTTTAATAATAAAGTTTGTTCTCGCAATATTGTATTTCAATATTTTTTTTTATCAAGCAGTTTTTCAATTAGCGATTCAATTAGTCAAAGAAGCAAGAAAAAATATCTACATTTAGAACAGAAATGTGCATAATATAATAATTATGGTATACGTAAATTTTTGAATGTGTGGAATATTTGCGCAAGCAAAATATAGGTACCTAATTAGATTCAGTTTTATGTTTCGGGGAAAACTAAATTATTTCTCTCTTTTTTCCATTGCGGAGAGAGATACTTGAGAGCATAGTGTACAAGAGCGAATGTATAAAATTAAGGGTTTAATTAAAATTCTTTGCATTCTTAAATTAAAAGAATAAGAAAAGAAATTCATTTTACTCGCTACTTGGAACTAATTTTTGTTTACATTATTTTAACTCTTTAACTAGAAATTAGACTTAT